GAGTGACTGGGCATAGCAATAAAGACTGCAGTTTTAGTAGAAGATGAACCCAGAACAGGGACATATTAGAGAATTATTATTGATTGTAACATTAGTAAAGGCTTTTTAGTTATAAATATTTTTATTGTAGTTCATTTATTTATTTTACATCCCAGCCATAGCCTCCCCTCCATTCTCCTTTCCCAGTCCCTCCTCCCTATTCCCCAAATTATTACATTTGAATAGTATATTTTGAATATCCTTATATTTCTATTGACATCTATCTTTATTTGAATTTTATTCTTTGGTTCAGGGCAATAATGCATTTTATTTCCTATTAATTTCCAAATGAGCAGTTTGATGCATTAATATTAACATTACACAAGTTCTTTAAAGTCTGAGAAATCACTCCTGCTGTTGTAGAGTAGCTAGTGCTCCTCTGTTAAAGGTCAGGAGTGAGAAAATTTTTATCTGTAGCCTTTTCCTTTTCACAGTCAGCCATCCAGAATGCTGCACCCAGGAGAAGGTTAACAACCAAGGCCCACAATTCGTGAATGGAGTTATTGTGAAGATCATGAGCACAGAGCCTCTACCTGGCAGGAAACAAGTCAGGGTAATGTTTATGATGCCTGTGTAAAAACAAAACAAGACCAGTTCGAATTGTACCTCTGATAAACTACTCTTAATGTTTGAGTCCATGGTAAAAAGTAATCTAAATGCAAGTTCTTCAGGAAATGAGATGTACGTGGAACAGTCTGAACACCTTTCCTTCCCATGTCACTAATGGCTGGATTCTCTTTAGCTCAGGGGAGAGAGAACAGTGCAGTGATTCTAAATTGCAGTTGTTGAAATAATATGTTCGGTATAATGCTTTGAGTTTTTTCAAGTCTAAGAGTTTTAAAAAGATATTTGGTGTCACTGTTTTTTAAAAATAGATTTAATAATATACTTAAACAGAGCTGATTATTTGAAAGTTGTAACCATATGCTCCTGATTTGTTTTTTTAGCCAGCTGCTATATATTTAGGGATTTATATTCATCAGGACTAAGGTTCCCAAATAACTGTTTTTCTTGTTTCTCTGGGACAGGTTTTTTTGTTTTAGCACAGGCTGTCTTAACTCATTATTTGGTAGAGTCCTGCAATCCTCCTGTTTCAACTTCCCAGCCTAGCACTTTATTTTATACTATATAAATTGTTCTATAACTTTTTAATTACTTTTTAACATTAGGACATTTAATACTATACATTAACATTGTTTCCTTTTTCTGTAAACTATACCAATTACATTTTTAATTGAAAAGAAGTAAGGGTTTTTTTGGCTTTTGGTTGTTTTGTTTTTTGGTTTGATTTTTTTTGTTTTTTTGTTTTTTTCTGTAATGTGTACACATTGGTTACTGATTCCCAGGCTGATTCGTCAATTTATGGATTTTACATAAGGAGATTAGCCTGACTTTCTTTCCAGTGGATATATACGAAGTATCTTTTGAACTGGGATTCTCTAAACTATCTGAAAAATCAGTTATAAAACTCTTACCGCTACCAGGGAATACATTAAAATATCATCAGCTTACTATAGACTATGTATCCTAATTAATATGATTAACAAGATAATACAAACATTTTTTACTAAGGGTGTTCTTATATTACAGCATATTGTGTGTTAAGGGTGAGTTAATATTAGTTTCTGTATTCTAAAAACTCACGAATCTCTTTTATCCTCTATATCCTTCGTTATGCTAACAAATAAACTATTTTTATTCTAAAATGAAATATTTCCAGATCCTCAACTTTTTTCTGTGACTCTGAAAAGTTACTATGTTACAATGATTTGAGATCTTTGTTCCTAGAAAATTCTGGTCTAAAGAGTTTCCTTCCAGTTAGAAATTGTATTTATTTCTTTAACTTTAATGAATGAAATTTGACAACTAAGATTACTGTAACATTCCTGCATAAATGCATTGTGTTCTGTAGGGAACCTGCTGTGAGGGGGAAAAGTAGATTAAGAATGCAGGAATCTTCTTAATTAGTCTTCACAGCAGGGTGTTATAGGTAAAACTGTCCCCATGTGGGGTCCCTCAGCTTGCCTAGAAAGGGTTACTTAGGTGTTTTATCTAAAATGGAGAGCTGTCAGCTGTTGTGCCAATAAATCTACCCAAGAACCCTAGGATTCCTGTTATTGTAAAATGTTTTAAAGATGGTTCTGTGTGCTCTAAGTCAAACATGGTATTGTATAGGTGAGTGAAAATAAACTTCTCAAGTCCTTTTAATCTTTCTTGTAGCCCCCTGGGTCATTTATATTCCACTCCACAAATCTTGCCCTTAGCTGATCCCCATGTAAGTTTATGTTTTAAGGAGAGACTTTCTAGAGGAAAAGGGAAAGTAATTTGTGATGAATTGTTAAATTGCTTCTCGTTTCTCTCCAAATTTTTTAAGAGTATTTCTGGGTGTTAGAAGTGTTTTATATATTTACCTATCAACTACAGATTACCTTATTGATATAATACATTTGACAACCTTTGTGGGTACATTCATTTATTGTGAAACATATTGGGTGTTGTTCTTAAGTTTATTTCTTTCTTATGTAGGATATTTTGGCCGCACTCTCAGAAGTTGTTTACGTTGATTTGCTAGAAGGAGATACTGAATGCCATGCCCGGTTCAAAACTCCTGAGGATGCTCAGGCAGTAATGAATGCACAGACTGAAATCAGAAAGAAGCACTGTTGGAACCTCGAGGTCCTTTCAGGTAAAACCTAATTGGATTTTTAAATAAACAATTATTATTGTGTGTAATTGTTCTGCTTGTTCTGCATTGGGCTAATTCTTCCCAAACATTGTCCTGCTGGTGAGATTAGAATATATATCCTTATACTTGGTGGTCAGAGCTTTTGTTTGTTTTTAAGGTGATCATGAGCAGAGGTACTGGCAGAAGATTTTGGTAGATAGACAGGCCAAACTTAATCAACCTCGGGAAAAGAAAAGAGGCACGGAGAAGGTAAGGGCAGCAGTTCAATGCGTCTTCTGACAGTGGTAAATGAGAATAAATTGACTTTGGCTTTCCTATCAGAGAACTGTTTCAGATTGAGAAAGAATACAGATTTCTCCTGGCTTCAACATAGATGAAATTAAGATCATTTGCTCAGGGGCATGCATAGTTGTAATTTAGAGTTTTTCTGTGCTTTGAAACAGTAATGCGTGTTAAATATACACGGTCTTGATTTGGAGCTGTTTTGTTTTTGGGGGGTAATGCCTGTAAAAAGATTGTCTTCTGCAGAAAGGATTGAGACTTGATATGTAAGGTTCCCCCTGGCAATGAGAATTCCTGTTGCTAAAATTACTGTTTTTCTGATAATCAATAATTGGCAAACAAATAATTAAGAAACTGTCATTCAGCAATTGTATTTCTATGATAGTATAATTTTTGCTCACCAAGAATGGCATTTATAAAAAATGGCGTTTATTCTTTGAGCACGAATTATTATTCTTTTAAATATTGCTGCAGTCAAGGTGCTTAGAACAACCTGATAAAAACTTTGAAAGCCCTGATTCAAATGTCCTATGCTTATTGGCTTGGTATGTTTTTCATCAGTGCTCCTTTGACATTTATGATGATTGACAGGGACGTTTGCTTCTCTGGCTCTTTGTGAATTTTTTTTCTTGAATGGAGCCTGATCTGGCTTAGATGGGAAGGCCCCCTTTTTTCTCAAGGCACTTTCTATCTAGTCTTGGAGGTATTGATTTCAAAGCTTGTTTGAGATGATCAGATGTTAACGGCAGTAATCTAGAACAGATAAATGAACTGTAATCGGGTCTGTAATATTTATTCTTGTAGTGAGGAGTTTTCTTTGAATAATCTGTACTTTTCCTAACTAGTAGTTATAACACTATTTAATTTTAGAAATTTATTAAGATTCATTTTAGTCTCAGGCATAGAAATAGGCATTTCCAGAGTGTTTGATAAAATTAAACTAGAACAACAAAAATCTAAATTACTCATTTAGCATGATATAGGTAGGAACAGCTGGAACCAGATGACTTCATGGCTTGAAATGCAGTAGAGCTTCCACACAAAATAAATGGTATTGGAAGCTTGATAGAAGAAAATGAACCACAGCTAACTTGTCCTTGTTGTTTTCTGGTGCTGGAGATTAAGTAAGTGCTGTGCCACTGAACACCTGCCAGAGCTTGCTGAATGTGTTAGCCCCCATTCCTGCAAATTCTCCCTTAACTTACCTATAAACATTACCAGTGTGGCACAGAAAATCAAACCAGGTAGCTTTTGCATCCACTAGAGAGTTGAGAAGTGCGGCATTCAAGGCTAATGAATGGGAATTGAGTGTATAGACAACAGTGGTAGACAGAATTCCAGTGTTTCTGGCATGGTTCCTTCCTGATAGGACACTTCATCGTTTCCACACCACACAATGATGCACCTTGAGTGGGAGAAATAGCACCTAACTTAACCTCAGAGTTGTTAGTTTTCACCCCCGCCCTGTTCAGTTTATCAGGACTGAAAGTAGAAAGTAAATCAATGCAGAGTAAGTTTACTCTGGGTGGATGACTACATGTGAAAATTAGGCATATGTAGGTGAACTCACAAAGTATTAGGAGCATGGGATCTGCTCTTTCACTCCCATCCTGAAAATAAAGCTTTTATTTCTTCACTTCAGTTGTTTAAATATCCCGTAAGTTTTGAATTATATTTTAAATTTCATGTGTCTGTGCATGTGCCACACAGCATGCCTTTGGTAGTTACAGGACAGCTTGCTGGAATCGGTGCTCTCTCTCTGCCGCCATATGTGAACAGTGGTTTAATTTAATTGTACCATGACCTTCTTTCAATCAGAAATGGTCCAAGATTGGATTCATGGGTTGATTTAGACACGGTCTCTGTGTCTCATGCTTACCTCAGGCTCACTGTGTGGCTGAGAACCACCTTGCAGTTCTCATCCCCTAGCCCTTACCACCTGAGTGCTGCATTTGCATGCTGATCCCTCCACCCAAGCTTATGTGCTGTTTAGGGATCAAACCTTCGGCTTTGTATATTTTAAACAAGAACTCTACCAGCTCAGCTACATCCCTAGCTATAGAGCCTATATTTTTTAAGAGAAAAATAAGACTAAGCAATATTTTTTCCTGTTAAGGAAGCTTTTGGCTGGCTGGTGTAATAGTTTGCACCTGTCATCCCAGCTACTCAGGAGACAGAAGAGTGAGTGACCTTCAGGCTAGCCTGGGTTACAGAGACCCCCTGCAGAAAAGCAGCAACAGCTGCTGTAGGAATGTTTCAATCTATTGTCTTCTGTGTTTCAAAAACTCTTTTCCTCCTTTTAAAAAAAAAATGTGTGTGTGTGTGTGTAATATGGTGCGGTTTTTATTTGATAAAGACAGGTCTTAATAGATCATTATTTGAAATTCTAATTTTTCATTTGTAAAGCAAATTTTAAACTTTTTGAGTTGTAGCATGAGCTGGGTGTGGTGATAATGCCACATGGGAATTTAAGGCCAGCATAGTCTAGTGAGTTTCAGGCCAGCCAAGCCTACACGGAGGAAACCCTGTCTCAACGAAACAAAATAAGAAAAAGAATTGTGCAATATAAGAGGTAGGGTGAAAAAAATAAGCCTGGTGTGGTTGTGCACACCTTTAATGGAAGCACTCAGGGTAAATCTCCCCAGTTAGAGGCCAACCTAGTACATATAGTGAGTTCCAGGCCAGACAGGACTACAAGGTAAGATTTGCTCTCAAAAACAAATGAACAAGCTGGACATGGTGGCATATGCCTTTTATCCTAGTATTCTTTGAGTTTGAGGCCAGCCTGGTGGTCTACAGAGGAGTTCCTGGACAGCCAAGGCTTCACAAAGAAACCCTGTCTCAACAAAACAAAATACTAATAATAAATAAATGTGTAGAATTGCCATGTATGTCACTCTGCTTGAAATTATCCCCACAGTAAACAATTTGTTTTGATTTGTTTTCCTGAGAAAGGAACCCACTGTGTTGTTCAGGCTGGCCTTGAACTCATAGAGATCCTACCTGCCTCTGCCTTTGGAGTGCTGGAACTATAGGAATGCAGTACCATGCCTAGCCAGTAGGCAATTTGTAAAGCAAACCTGAGTAATTCCCAGCCGAGAAGCATCTTACTCAAATTGTGTGTAAATCTTTAATCACAAGGTAATTAAAGATCCCATATCATTTAGTCTTAGGAATTAATAACCAATTCCAGGGGGTATACAAAATAATGCTAAGTTGTGACTCTTCAATGAGAAGTGACAGACATTTCAGTTGTAAGATTTTGAGTTGTGCAGTGTAATTAGAGGGTGATAGAGGTTTCAAAGATTTAAGATCTATTTTATAAAAATCTCCAGTTAGTTCTCTGTAGACTGATTTGATCAAAACATAATGATCTCATTTGTCTTTCTACCCCCAGCTTTTAAAAATGTCATTCAGCCTGATAGCCTAAGACTTTCATAGTAGGGACTGTTTTTTCATTTTGGAGTTTCTGAGACACTGATTTCTTCTTTCTCTATAGTTAATCACCAAAGCTGAGAAGATTAGACTGGCCAAGACTCAACAAGCCAGTCAGCATATTCGATTCTCTGAGTATGATTGAGAAGGACGGCAGCTCCCTTTGGGTTCCCTTGCTGGAGTGTTCCTAGAATGCTAGGACCGTGTGATGGATTGTTCTGCTGAGATCTACATTTAAAAAAAAAAAGCCTTTGTTCCTTGATGTGTAAATACGACTTTTCTAGAGACAAATACATTATGTCACAGGTTTTTTTTTTTAATAAAGTTCTTGTTGAAATTATGCAGATCAACTTCAAATGATTTCATAAATAAATGTGTCTTGAAAATTATCAGTTTGTTTTTAATTACAAAATCAACATGATTATAAAATAAAAATGCTTGGATATCAGATGCAAACTAAATTGCTTTTCCCTTCTCATATCTTTTTGTTTGGTTACAAGCAGATGTGGTAAATACTCCATTCTATTTCTTTTTTTCTCGTCTTCCCTTCCTTTGAACAACAGAATGTATCAACTGTTTCTTATTAGAATATTGAATTTTAAAATCATTGACTTTGTTTTTCATAAATAGGTCTTTTATTTTGGTTAGATGATGTGCCAGGTACTATGAGCTTGGAGAGAGTCTGGGAATCCACCTTAAGGAATACTGAAGTCTTACATTTTTCAGAAATTCACAATTATTTATAGCAGCTATGAAGGAATGGCATCTTAGACTCCATCAGAATCACCTGGAAGTTGTCTCTGTTCCTTGGGGGGAATATACCATTTCTGCTGCCACTAGCTTCAACCAACTGCTTCCAGGGTGGCAGTTTCTGTGTATTGTGTGAGGACTATGGTCAGGCATCTTCACTTCTGTGACTCACAGGGAGGGTCACCGAGGAACAACAGCTGATCACTGCCAAATCTAAGTACCCTGACAAGTTGCCTGTCCCTTCTTTTTCCTCCATGGGGTAAAATATATACATGCATGGGCTTGTGGCAACATAAGACCCGGAAATAGTTGTTACATCCTATATATAACTGAAGGAACTCCAATAAAGAATTGAACATTTAGCACTGGGTGTGGTGGAAGCAGAGGCAGGTGGATCTCTAGGTTCTAGGCCAGCCTAATCACAGAGCCCCAGGCGAGCCATGACAACATAGAGACTGTCTCAAAGAATTGAACATTTACTATAGAGCATAATTAGATGTTGCTGTAGCACTTGAAAAATAATAATGGACAAAGCAAGGGTTTTTTTTGTTTTGTTTTTGCCATGAAACCTATATTGTATATGAAGACAGTTTTAAAAACAAAAGCTTGTTAAAAAGTTTCTGGGAACCTAGCAAGATAGTTCAGTGGGTAAAAAACTACGTGGTTGACCTAAATTCAGTCCCTAGAACTCATGTGATAAGAAAACCCATTACTATATGCATGTACTTTCCCCATCATATACAAAACACAAAACAGATACTAAAAGAGTGGTAACAGTCTTCTGTATAGTGTCCATACGTGCATGCAAAACATGTATAAACCTAAGTCTTGAAGGGGCTGTAGAGGTTAGGAACACTGACTGCTCTTCCAGAGGACCCAGGTTCAATTCCCAGCATTGACATGGCAGCTCACAACTGTCTGTAACTACAGTCCCAGGGAATCCATCCCACCAGGTATGTGATATACATATCTATGCAGGCAAAATACCCATACATACAAATTTTTTTTAAAAAAATATAGTCTTGACAATTTAAAATATACATTTATAATTGCTCAGTTTTATTATTTGATATCAACATAGCTAGTAAGAATATAAATGTAGCCAATCTGAATGAATGTATAAATATGGAGTGTGTTGCTGGGCAGTCCCAGCACTTGGAGGCAGAGGCAGGAGGATCTCTATGAGTTGGAGACCAGCCTGGTTTACAAGAGTTCCAGGACAGCCTCCAAAGCCACAGAGAAACCCTGTCTCAAAAAAATCAATAATAATAATGATCACTTGTTTACTGGACCAAGTGGATTATGTAGGGGTTTAATTCACTATTGTTTTATTTTTGATTATGTGTGTACATTTCTTTGACTTTTGTTTTTTGTCTTGCTATGGACCCCTGGCTGATCTTGAAATTGCAGTGATCTGTCTGCCCCTGACTCCACCTCTCAAGTGCTAGAATATATGCTACCATGCCCAGCTTCACATTAAATTTTGATTGACTTAGAGGAAATATATACAACTGGAATTGATGACAGTATTTACAGTTACTGACTGAACTGAGAATACCCAAAACTATTTCAAAAGGCTTAGGGGATGTGAAGATAGGTAGATTTTTGTGCCAACATTGAAAACCTTTCTTTAAAGACTTCCTTTCTTCCTTCCCTCTTTCTTAATTTCCTTTCCTTCCTTCCCTCCTTTCTTTTCTTCCTTCCTTCCCTCCCTCCTTCCCTCTTTCCTTCCTTCCGTCCCTCCCTCCCTCCCTTCCTTCCTCTCATATGTATTTCTGAATGTGCACACATGAGCATGTGAAGGTCACTTCAGCATCTGTCCTCTTCACCCAATCATGGTTTCAGGGATCAAACTCAGGTTGAATAGCAAGCACCCCTACCTGCTGAGCCCTTAGGTTTTTGGTACATTATCTTTTGACTTGTGATAGATCTGGGCTCATATGTCCATACATCATGATATAGGGCTGGGGATGTAGCTCTGTTGGAGAGTGCTCCCTCTGGTGTGGGCAAAGCCATGGTCTACTCTCAAAAGAATTAATGAAAGAATTTGGGAAATTGTGGTGTAGAACTATTTCAAAATTACCATGGGGGGCCTGAGGAGAGGGCTCAGTGGTTGAGTGCTCCTATTGCTCTTCCAGAAGACCAGAGGTTGGTTCTCAGCACCCACATTGAGCAACCACCTGTTACTACTGCTTTAGGAAGATCTGGTGTCTCTGGCTTCCAAGGGGCACCTGAGCTCTGATGTGCGCACACACACAGTTCAAAATAAACATTGGCTTTTACCCCTATCTAATCCTTATTTTAATACATAAAAGATATATAATAAGATTGGATGAACATTTTAATCTTGATAGCTGACAGGCTAGCTAAAGAATGTAATCGGAATGACTGGTCAAACAATTTGTGTTTTTTGAAGCCTCATCCAAAGTATTAGAAAATTGTGTCTTTCTGTCCCATTCAAATCTCTGATTATGAAATATGATGTAGCAGGGCTATAACTTTAGTCAACTGTGTTGCTGCAGACCTTCTGTCTTTCCAGCACTGGGGAAGCAGAAGCAGGAAAATTAGTTCAAGACCAGCCCTGGGTACGCAGCAGTTTGAGACCACTATAGATTACACAAGATTCTATCCAAGAAGGAGCAACAAAACAACAACAACAAAACCAAATCTGGAACACAGCACATATAATTAACACAACGTATGTGGTACTTAAGAGTATCATGACACGGGAGTTTCCTTGATTAATAGTACTAGCTAGCCAGACATGATAGGCTCCAAAGCTACACAGAGAAACAATGATCCCAAATATACTTGGAGACTTGCGTAGAACATTTTTATTTTATTTTACTTGGATAGTCTCACATATCCCAGGCTGTCCTTGAAATCAGGATGAAGCCAAAGATGAAATGACCCTCCTGAGTACTAAGATTGCAGGTGTGCACATCAACACCTAGTTTTAAGTGTCACTTGAGGTCAATCCAAGGCTTTACTCATACTAAGCAAGTACTCTACCAACTGAACTACCTTTAGCCATCACTTAAAATTTTTTTAAAAAACAAATCTCTTGTTTTTTATTTTATGTACATTGGTATTTTGCCATGGGTGTTGGGTCCCTGAAACTGGAGTTACAGACAGCTGTGAGTTGCCTTGTGGCTGCTGGGAATTGAACCTCAGACCTCTGGAAGACCAGTCAGTACTCTTAACCACTGAGTCACCCCTCCAATTTAATATGGCCTGGCACACACTTTTGCTCATTTTTCATAGCACACCTTTAGTTCCAGTACTGGTGAAGCAGAGGCAGGCAGATCTCTGTGAGTTCAAGGCCAGCCTGGTCTACAAAGCTACACAAAGAAACCCTTTCTTAAAAAAAAAAAAAAAAAAAAAAAAAAAAAAGCCAACTTGTTCTATAGAGTGAGTTCCAGGACAGCCAGGGCTACAGAGAAATCCTGTCTCCAAAAAAGCTTTAAGTAGCAAATTAAAAATAGACTAACTCTCTCTCTCTCCCCTCCCTCCTCTCCCTCCCCTCCCTCTGTCTCTGTGTCTCTGTCTCTGTCTCTGTCTCTGTCTCTCTCTCTCTCTCTCTCTCTCTCC